GTGGAAGATCATGAACACATCAGCTGAAAAAGAAATTTTAGTCAAATCCTAGATCATTAAGAACTCTTAATGTCTCAATTGAGTGCAAATAACAAGAATAAGGCAGATACTGCCTTGAACACTTTTGTTAACCAAGCAGAACAAAGAAACATAACAGCCAATCTCTACAAGCATGGGTAGCCATGTGCGTCTTATATAATGACATGATTTTTATTTGCCAGGAGCTACGAGGTAAGGAATAAACTAACAAAAAGTAAATGATACCAGAAATCAACTCCAAGGTCTTGTCTGTCAGATTGGTATTCTGTGACAGGTTCAACACTGTCAGGTGGACAAGATCTTTGATATTCTTCACCCCAGCATCAGTTAGTCCTCCACCACAGATTTCAAGTGATTTGAGATTTTTGAAGTCTGCTTGGCATAAAAATACTAGGAGTAAGAACATTTAGTAAATGCATCAGAGCTGCAAGCTACTATTGATAAAGTTTATACTTTGAATTTTATGCCACAAAAATGATAGTGACAGTGCAGAGTCACGTTACTTAAATAAGCAAATATCAATACCCCAAAGTCCAAGAAGCAACTTGAGATTAAGACAACATATGCAGTGATAAAGCAGATCCATACATTTCAAAGAGTTTGTGCCAGAATCTGTAATGCGAGCGCCGAAAAGATCCAGATGCGTCAATCCAGTCAGACCTGCATCAATAAAAGCATCAGCAAGGGTATAGCATGATTAAACAGAGGGAAAGATTATTCTTGTACGAGCTTGAAGACTCGTCTGCTTGCTTTAAAGTTTCTATCTGTAGTTTCTAGATTAGGGATTTTTCTTTTTGCCTGAAGTATTCTACATCAGTTTACTATTTGGAACCCTAAGCTTCAAATATTAAGGTAATCTCAAAAATAAAAAATAAAATACTTCTTCATTGCCAAATTCGTACTTTCTCATACAAGTTTAAGCTCCCAACAGATTTATCCCAATAACACTGGGAAAAAACTCGTAAATGTTTACTCATCCATTATTTTGATGGTCCCCAGCATTTAATTAAAAAAAACAAAAAATCCTCCAGATGCTGAAATCCATGAATGCATTAACTCAAAGATGCACAGAAGCCAAATTATTTTCAACAAAATATGAATCAGACCACATGCATACCATAAGGTTTCTAGTAGTTGCATAAACCAATACTTGCGTTCATATTCATAGGTGAATAAGATATGAGTTAATGCTTACTTGTAAGAGATGTAAGTCCAATATCTGTGATTTGGCGAGTATCCAAGTTGAGTGATCTAAGAGATGTCAATCCAGATAACTTTCTTAAACCACTGTCTGTTATGAAGGTGAATGATAGATTTAAGTTCTCCAGATGAGTTAAGCCTAAAACAATGGGACAAAATTGCAAGTCAGTCCTTGCATTCGTTACACACACACTGAAAGATGCATAGGATAAGAAGTTGTCTTCAGGTCAGATAGAACACAAATAATGGCTAATGCAACAAACCACCATCAGATTTCATCCCAACACTCAAATCCTAGCATAGGAAAAGGATATTTCCATAAGCCTACCAAAGGGAAGATCACGGACAAGCCAATTTTACGTTTAAGGTGCATTTGCTTTTCAGTGTTTCAACTAGCCAATGTTTTTCTAAACATTTTATGGGAAAAAATGTACACCAAATGCATTCCAGGTCCCAATGCAATGCCTCAATACTATTACCAAAGCCATAGGTACAAAAGAGTGAATCTTCGGAATCTAACTGAAAGGGGAAAAGATTTGAAAAAAAAGTGAAGGAATAAAAGGGAGAAACAAATTCCAGTGCTCTTGAATATGAACATGCACTCAGTAGCTTCATGCCCTACCAACCATGGAAATGACACCATTCCAAACATAGCCACAATGCATGATATGTTCCAAGCATGGAAGCTTCATATAAATAAAAGCAAAGCCAGCTTTTTTTTTTTTTTTTTGACAGATAAGCAAACATCTAAAGCATATAAAGAACGTAAACATATGCATATGCATTACACAAGAGCACCCTTTTCAACTCCCTACTTTTAACTATATTTTCAATTCAAGACCTAATCAAAAACTAGATTCTATTGCCTTTAGGAGCACTGCAAACCATAGTCACACAGTCATTTAAATCTCTTGAATATTAAGGCAACAAATAACATGAAAGAGAGAATTAATCATGATGAGATGCAAGCATCAAAAGAAATAAGAAAAAGAAGACATGGCTTTGGGAAAAAAAGGTGGAATTGAAGTTCCAGAATGCAGCAAATACCAGAATGAGACGAGGTATAATGAGTCATACAAGACAAATGCTAAATAGTAAGTGGATAGAATCCTAACCAGAAAGATGCCGCAGCCCATTGCTTCCGATTTCAGTATCTGACAACTCCAAACTTTTAAGTGGAAGGCCTGAAGTGAGAAACGCAGCATATATCAGAACATGCTCTAAAACATGCAAAATCATAGACCTGCATGCCCCTTAATCAAAAATTATTGGAGCACCATGGTCACAACATATTTTTCTCCCAGACATGCTGCTAGTTCACAAATTAAAGCCCCAATAAAAACACAGCACTAGTTGCATGTAGCTGCCATTGTTACAGTATCATGAAAGATGAATATTTCTTCTGGAACAACATCAATAAACTGGCCATTGCGATAGAAAGTAGTCAGCATAGTAAAATCCAACTAGTAGCTCTCAGTTATCATATTGTATATTTTCTAAAATCCAACTAGTAGCTCTCAGTTATCAAGATACATGGTTATTAACACCCTTAGCGCAGATGAAAACATTTGAATGGGAAAAGTGGCACTGACAGCTATCAGACACCAAGAACAAAGTTATGAAGTTCTGAAATAACATAAAACATGGTTTATGTAATCATAGTTTTGCATATTTTTCCTCTTTAACTATCAAAGATATACAAAGGTTCCAAAATTTGTGAGATCTAATGACGATGACATCTATGCTCCTTGTGAATGAGTCCTGCCAGGGATCTGTGCACATTTTCAACACAGTATCTTGAACTACAAATCCTGGATTGATGTAAGCCCTAATCCCAAGCTAATTAGGGCAGCCTACAAAATTCTTTCCCTTTATTTATCCCACTCAAATGGAGATGGGTTACATGGTAGCTAAGCATGTTTATAGATTTCAACCACTGCTAGCAGGCAATTTTCATCCCACGAAGTGTCGGTTACAGCAGGAGCTAGGAACGATCTAACTTTTGCTACTCTGGAAATGGTTTAAATTTTTCCCATTCACGGAATAAAGAGTTCTAGAAACAGCATGATTAGCTGATCTCACAGATTCAGAACTAGCATTCATAACAAGAAAATGCTTGAGAAGGCCAAATGCATGATAGCAGGTTAAAACAGTAGCTCTTTTATTATCAAGAGTTTCTTTTCCCCAGGTAACAAGAGTCATCTTGGAAAGGTGGCAGGTCACATTGACATAATTAAGCTGCCAAAATATTCAAGATAGAACAATATACCTGTCAAATTAGCAAGGCCTTCATCGCCAATCTTACAAGAATCCAAGTTCAAGTTCTCCAAATTTCTCAAGCCTGAATAGAAGCAAACACAGAGAAGATGATAAATGCAAGGAGCACGATTTCATGAGCGAAAGAACAAGAACAAATTAAAAAGAAATGAATGAAACATAATTGGATGGTTGTATGACCATGGATAAATGAAATCATCACATCCTTAGAGCCAATGTCAAAAAAATGTACAATTGCATACAGGTGCTCTGTATCTTCTGTGGGGTAACAGAGAGGGAGGGAGGGATAGCACACCTTTTAAATGCACCAAACATGCATCTGTAAAATTGTTGAATGCCAAGCTCAAAACCTTCAAGTTTTTCAATCCTGTACATGTTTAATACCATAAACTCGAGGTTATCCTTCATTCAGTCATGCAATAGATCAAAAATCAATATGTTCCATTAACTCTTATGAAGGACCTAGTAGGATCACAAGTAAACCTAACTTCACTCACCAGAGAACTTATCACATCCATCATCAGATAGACCACATCGGCTTAGATTCAAGTAGGCAAGGGTTGCAAGAGCTGCAAAAGACAACAAGCTCAGAGAAACACCTACTTGATTTTCCATCAGTGAGCAGCAAAATAATAAGTATTGGTTGAAAGCCCGATAACTAAACAGTGAGTAAACCTGAGATGGAATCCAAACATGCAGTGGTGATATTGCAACCCTCCAAGTTCAACATAATAAGCTTCTGCAAGCCTGCCAATAGTAAACAAACGTCCTGAGATGTCAGCCCTAAAGATTGAAAAACAGGTATGCAATGACCATCATCTAAAAAGAAACATATTTGCCTCACTAGTGGGATCATTGTAGACCATTTCAAACATTTGAGAACCAAAGCAAACTTAATTTTACAATAGCACATACCAGCTTGGACAAATAGCAACGATTTCCAAACAATAACATTCATACATGGAAAGGCCTATAGATGATCACCCTTTTTTTTAATAACAATCCAATCCTAAAAATAAAGCAACCATATAATGGTAAAATTTGGGGCATAAGGTTGAGCCACATTCACCTTTCACATTTCACAGATATTATGAATGTCATTCACCTTATTGAATGCCAAGTGGGGCATATGGATTGCATTCCTTTGGGCAAATTAGTAAATCTTTACTTATGCAAAAGAACAGAAAAGAAACTCAGTGGAAAGTGTTTCTTTCTTAGTGCCTTTTTTTTTTTTTTTTTTGACCAAAAACTCAATGGAAACTAATCTCTGAAATTGTTTAAATGTGCACCACAAGTGTTACTAGAGTCAGTTATGGAGTTTGCACATAAGTTGGTAAGGTGATATCTCAAGCTCAATCTAGTCTAAGAGTGTATTGATGTTATTAAGATATTGAATATCTTCTGATGCATATGAACTAACAGATCAGAAATTATAGGAGGCTCTGGGATTTTCTCTGACTGGGAAAATTTACCACTACAAACAGCTATTTGGTAGTGGCTTTCTGCTTTTTCTTGTTCTCTTGTGCTGCACAGTTCTTCTGCAGTTTACACTGCTCATATCTCTAAGGAAAATTGTTCACAATTGAAGAAAACAAATAGAACAGGAGTAGGAAAGCAGCTAATATTGGAGCCATATTATTAGATGAAACCTGAGAGGATGCAAAGTACCTTTTAAATAAGAAACTCCGAAATCAGTAATGTTACTATTAGAAATCTGTAACTCCTTCAAGTTACTAAGACCTGAAACATAAGAAAAAGAAGAATTCAGACAAATTGACCAAAATCTGGAAAAGAAATCAGACCAAATTTTGATTCATCCTCCACTGAGCATTCCTAAGCCTGCAACTTCTTTTTTTTTTCTTGGTCTTAAATGTGGTCAATGAGGACCAACGTGTTTTGATACTCTTTAACAATCAATCCCATCTTTAGCACTAACAGCTAAGGTTGGGCCATTGGTATTCCCACCAACCAAGGATGACAAACAGTACATTCACAGGTCATTCAATAAAAGCACCCTCAAATTGCAGGCAAAGATACAGGTATAGGGAAAAATAAGCATGTTCACAAAAACAGAAGTATACAGGTATGCCAGAGACAAAATGAAATAAGAACGTAAAAAACAAGTACCTGAGAGAGCCTTAATGTCCATATCTGTAATGCAATTGCAACATCTAATATTAAGGGACTCAAGTTTTTTCAATCCTGTGAAAAGAAAAGAAAAAGGCATAATTGAAGAGTGAGACCAGATCAGAAGACTTAAAATCAAACGTGACATGATAGGATATAGAAGTGCTAGATTTAAAGCTAACATTCAAACTCTATGAAGCCATAAGGAGGCCACAATACTCTGCTCAAGCGCCTAGGAAGCATGCAATTTAAAACAAAAAAGCAATGTTCTCTTCAATACACCAAAGAAACCTGAAGCATTTATCTAATGAAAGACAAACCTTTAAGATGAACAAGTCCACCATGAATCCCAGAACACCTCTCCAAGTCCAACTTTTCCAAGTTGATTAAGGTAGAAAAGGCACGCATCCCTTCAGCAGTGACAGCATAGCTCTTTTTCAAACTCAAAGATGTCATGTTTGTAAGACCTTAAGAATACCCAGCAAGTGATTGGTGTTAATTAGTGGAGTGTCAGAATGATTATCAAAGAGTTATTTACTTAGACATGGAAGAGAAAAGATTAAATAATATGATAAATGATATTGAGAACAGCCATCAATTTCGGACATCAAACTGGAAACCATCATCTTGTCACCTGCTACAAACAGCACATTAGGCAAGTAACATTTGGATAGTCAAATTTTTTTTTTTTTTAATCACATTATACCCATCACAGCTCAGATCTTAATTATGCCATTTTTTTCCTAAATGGGCACATGGAAACGTAAAATCTGTGAGTTCTCTTATTAAAAGAAGAGAAAAATTTCTTCTGTCTACTCAAAATGATTCAATAATACCTCCAAGAAGCATGACTAATACTTCAAAATTTGCCATAATGTTTGTGGAAACAAGTCAAAAATAATTATTTAAAACAACAAAAAGGGACCAGAGACCAACAACTTGTTCTTCTTGGCATTATCTAACCATTTTCCTAGCATTAGGTCTTTCTTGAGAAGTATACCTTTAGCATCAAATGCTATGCAAAATAAGTACTGTTAACTAGTGACCAACTAAACATAAAGCATTGCCAGATCACTTACTCAGTATTTTACCAAAGACTGACAGATTTTATTATCCACATAACATTCAGCATGGTTTCACCGTGCATAGATGTATGCAGATGGTCAATTACTCTATTCATTACAAAATGAGTTGACTTATTAAATTTTAACAAGAAAATAAGCACTTCCTTCTGAACTCCAAATTTCAACTTCGTATGGGTGATGTAAACCGTAAACATAAAAAGATCAGTTCCTTAATCTATGAAGCTCCAATTGTGCTAAAGAATCAATTTATATTCAAATGCGCCTGGCACTATATTTCATATAAATTAGCAGCTTGGATTGCTGCCCATGATATAGAATCTGAAACACATTGATTTTGCACACACAGACTTGGCTTATGGCAGCATGTATAATGACGAAAATTATTTGCACAAGGCACGTGGTAGAAAATATATGAAGTCATCGAATTAGCAGCAAAACATGCCTCATGTAACAATTATTTATATAGCAACAAATTAAAAGGAATGAAACAGGATTTTGCACCAACATAGCCAAAATAAGGGAGTAAATAGAGAGTACCACTTAAATGTTTCAGACCATGGTCAGAAATGTCGTTGCAATAATTTAGAGTAATTGCTTGGAGGTTTGAACAATCCTTGAGGAGAGACAAACCAGCATCTGTGACATCAGATTCAGAAAGGTCAACAGAAAGCAAAGATGAACCTTGTGAAGAGATGACATCCATCCAGGTATCAGTTACTCCAGGACATTCACCCAAAAGGACATCCTATTAGCACCAAATGGCGAATTAATTAGTTCCATCCTGTATGAGAAACTGAAAGGGACCCACGTTCAACCAGATAAAAATGTTTCCATTTGAAATACACGGAGAAATTACCTGAAGAGCACAGTCTCTGAAAGTTTCAAGAGAAGCAGCTGTAAGACAACGTGAGATTACCAATTCATTAAAGATTTGCTGACTTGTATCTCTTGGCAGCATTGAAAATGAATTATATCTGTCGATGTCCTGTTATAATCGAGAATAGAAGTTTGAACAAACTGTCAAAAAGAATAATCCTAAGGCAACACAAGGCAAAGAAAGCAAGTAACCTCGCGTATTCTGTAGATGCATAATTCCAGGAGAGATGGGAAACTGCCTCCTGACTGAAGATCAGCAGTAGGTCGAGCAAATGAGTTCCCCAGCCATTTTGAACTTCCACTTTTACTATACCTTCCAGAGACCCCTCTTCTTACACCATCCTCAATAACCTGTTGGTCTCTCTTCCTTGAACAAATTCCACCCATTGACTGGTGATCTCGCAGGTGATCTATTGATGTCATCAAATAAGCAAAAGAACAGTGTTCTTTCCCATTTCAAAGCCAAATCACAGGGCAATAAGCCTAATTCATCCTGCATGGTTAGGGGGAAAAAAAATCACACTAGAGTTTCTTTGACAGGTATAGTAAAAAAAGATAAGAATGCTGTTAAAGTGAACCACCCACCATAGTCTATCACTAACGATGCGATAACCCAACTAAACTTAGTCCATCACATTGTTCGTACACATGCAAACTCTAATGCTCTATTAACAAACCCCCAGTTGAATAAAAAGAAACCCCAAGGATTAACAAACAACAACAAGAAACTTCCTTATAACAATTTGAGAAAAACACCAGAAGTTCAAGTTTTATCACACTCAACTATTCGAGTTAGGCAAGGCGCGCACACACGTTTACTTCAGAACTTCAAAACACAAATCATCACCAGGACTCTTAAGAATCCAACTTCTTCAAAACATACGCAACCAACTGGAATCAAAGTAAGGTAAAACAAAATGATAAATTAAGAAATACGGATTAAGTTCCATTTCCAAAATGCAAAGAGGGTAATCACATATAAAATTCTTCATCTCGTTTAGGCTTTTTTTCTTATTCCATAGGCATGCTTCAAATGAATTGACAGAGAAATCATCCACTATAAGCAAACCCCATCTCTCAATTCAAAAAATCAAATTTTACATGTACATATTCATTTACAATCAAAATCACAGCTTTAATCACAATCAAATGACAACCCACTTCACTGTATCAAGTCTAAAGCAAAGTATAACTTTCTGCAACACGATCAAATTTACACCAACAAAAACCAAAACCTTAGATGATCATGCAACTTTACTTTCAGTTGATGATCATCAAAGTTACAGTTTTAAAAACAAAACATCATTGAGGGGCAAAAAAAAAGACCTTAAAAGATACCTTGAGAAAACCAAAATTTGAGGATGATCAAAAACCAAAACCCATTTATCTGAAAGTAAAAAGAGTATAGCTTTACAGAGGATGAGGATTTTAGAGAGAGAAAGAGATTGTCTGAAACTGAAAACAAGAAAGTAGGCGAAGGGGTTAGGGAGAAAAGCAGAGAGAGGGGTGAAGGAGCTGGGTTAGAACCGTTTGATGGGCGACACGTGGAAATTGAGAGGCTGATGAGCTGATAAGTGTTTGGTTCTTAAGAGTGGGTTTGGGTCCCACTGTTGCGTCCTTTCTGCTTTATCCGGCGGGAGAAGAGAAGTAATGGATTTTTTATGCATTAGTTTTGTTAGTATTATTATTATTTTCTTCCTATCCTTTTCTCTACTCTAACACTGTAACGTACACAAGTAGTAGCAGTAGCGGTAGCAGTATTATACACTTAACTTTTGTTAGACCTCAATTTAGTCCCTAATGTATTTATTTATTCTCAATTGAGTCCTGATTTCAATTTATCCATTTGGCCCCACACTTTGCAGACAATACTTTAATCAGCTTTTTGCGTTAGTATTCCCAACATTTCCATCAATTTATACCTTTTCAAATCAATTAAAAATAGATACATAGAATAGAAATTAAATTAAGTTTTTGTATTCTCAAAAAATGATGAATATAAACATTTGTGAAATTCAATTAGAAGCTGATCCTGCTTAAGATATTGGGTTTACCACACATTTTATTGAATATTTTACTTTAAATTACTTTTTAAAAAATATCATGTACTAAATGAAAAGTTTAAAAAAAATTGAACCTCTGTAAAATATTTTCATAAACTTAACATAATTTTATGAATTTACTCTCGAAAAAATCTCATGTATTCAATAGATAAATCACATTGATACGTCTTGTAAATATGAATATTGTAGTTAAGGAGCTATTATTAGTAGTTAGTAGAAAAAACGAGCCATATTATTATAATAAAAACTGAATTGATTATTATTATAAAATAGAGGGACTACTCTGACTTTATTTCGGAATACTAACCAGTGTATGAGAAGTTTCTGAAAGAGATAACTTCCATTAGTCACCGTTCCGTCCATAGATTTATGTATTATCCACTTCAGGCATTGATTAATCTCTGCGGGGCCGGCTGGCTGCTAGATGAGGACGAGCTATACATTACAATATATATATACATATATATATAAATAAAAGCACGTGGCGTGCAAGGAGACGCTCGTCCCTTGGTCCGTTGAAGAACGCGAAGGGAAGCAGGGTTAAAACGGAGATGGAAAATATAAATTCAGAAAGAAAAACAGAAAATAAAAAGGAAGGACTGGTAAGGATCCAATACCAAATTTGTGCCAGCAACGAAAAAATCAGTTTATGAACAAATTGCTCTTGAAAATCAATTGCATGTGAAGCTTGTTTGCAGTCACATGGAGAAGAGAAAAAAGATGGTTATTTGAACAATTATGAAAATCTAGGGAAAGAGAGGGAGTGTTAGTTTGAATTATAATCGAAAGATAAAAGGATTGAAGATTTTAAATATTAAAATAATAAAACTATCCTTTGTTTTATTTTTATTGTAAAAATAAAGATTTTATGTCCACTAAAATTAGACAGAGTGTTAAAACGTCCAAATGATTGATATGTATGGTACTCAAAAAAAAATTATTAATGTTTATTTCATTGAAAAAATAGACAAAAAAAAAAAGAGAGAGAGAAATTTAAGAGAGAATTAAAAAAATTAAACCTAGATAGGAATATTCTTATCAAGTTTAGAAATTGAATGTTTTTTTTTATTGTATTTATCTCTCGTTCCAAAATAAGTCAAAATAGATATTATAATTTACTCATGCGTTTTAAAAATTATCATTAGCAAATGTCACATGTAATGCTATATGCCTTTTCTATTTTTTGTCAAAACATTTTTTAACTTGCATCAAAAATTAAAATGTCATGATAGGGCAAAATGTTGAAAATCAAATATGTTGTTTTCTTTAGTTTTGACAAAAATAATAAGATATTAAATCTCCCATATCCTATTTATATATAGTGATTAAATGCAAACACACTAAAATAAAAGCAGTAGAATGTAGCAAGTAAATTTTAACTAGATATAAAACTTAAAAACAATAAATAATATCATTTCAGCCTTCTAAATAAAAAATTTCACTAATAATTTCGGTCCAGACATCAAATTGTCTAGAATTTCCTCAATAACATGTCTTATACCTTTTCTTACATGAGTTCAAATCAAAAATTAAAATTTTCACCATGATTTGATGGTAGGTGTATGAAACATATCTTATACCTTTTCTTATTCACAAAAAAATTATACTCTTTACCTAGAATAGAGTTATTTCATATCAATATTTTTTGTTCATATCTTTTAAAAGCCTTCCTTACTTTTTTGTTCATAATTAAAAAATATATATTTTTAGAATTATATTTGAGTAATCTTTTACGAAACAAACTTTAATTAAAGATATTTTAATAAAGTACATCATATACATAAAAAAAAAAAAGATATTTTTTTTGGAATACAAAAAGTGCCAATTATCATTAGTTTTTCTAATAGCAATGATTGAGTTTTTTTTAAAAAAAATCAACTATAACCTTTGATAATTTAATTTATTAATAAATAACCAACGTAGCCGGATGTAGATAAAAAAGCCAAAACATTTAACAAGACAACCATTAAGAAAATTTTAGGGACTAAATTATAAGTTTCTAAACAAAAGAGATTGAGTTATAATTGCATCTAAAACCTAGAGACTAAAGAATAATTTGCTCCTTTGAATTCTAACACCAAATGCGTTTTGTCACACGCATTGTCGTCAACCAATCTTTTCTGAAAAAAGCAATGCTGCGGAGAGACTGAATATTTTAAAGAAATTAATTAATGAGAGATTAGCATAAAATAAAATAAATAGGTGAAAATGGATGAAATAATTAATCATAAAATTGCACCAATGTCCATAATGATACCAAGTTCATAATTAATGAGAGATACTCATGCACGATAGATTTTTTTTATTAGCAAATCGATGATGGGGTAAGACGGCAACGTTCTAAACTTTTTGATTTGTTTAAGGGAGAAGATTAATGATGAAAGTAAAGGTAGATTCATTTCCAAGGAATTTATTTTCAAATACTCATTTTCTTTTCATCATTATTCTTGAGAAACATGAGACAACTTCCATAAAACACTATGGTTGCTTGTATTGAACGGCAATCTGATTTTTTTTAATGGTAAAGAGATTACCATCTAATTATACTCATTATGAAGAGAAAGATTCAAACTTCATTATGTTACCTTATAGAAAGTGAAGGTGGTTTCATGAATGGTTTAATCTTTAACATAAATAATCTTATATTTGATTAAATCGAAGAGAGAGATCTAATCTTTGTATATAACAATGGAAGTAAATATATTCATTTATCTTTATATAATACTCAAAGTTTCTCGTTTATTTTTAAATTTTTAGTTACATTTTATTTGTTCTTGAAACATTTTAAAATGTCATTTCGATTTCGAGACCATGAAATATTTTTTTGACCAAAATACCCTTTATAAAAATTCAAAAGAAAAAAAAATTAAAAGTTACATGACCTACATATTTTATTTTTGAAGTCTTTAGAATTTTATTTTATTGCATTTTGATAAAAAAAAATTATTTGACAAAAAAATTGATCGGAAAGACAAATTGAACATTTCAAATATTTTCAAAAACAAATAAAATATAATTAAAAATCTACAGGTATAAAAAATATTTTAAATATTATACAAGAACATATAAGTATATTTATCCTACACGTCAATCCAAAAAAACCTTCCTTTTTGTTTAATGGAAAGTAGAAATAACATTGTAATAACTAGTATACAACAGAGTGGTTAGTTTAATTTAATTTAAGCAAAAACTAATTTGAGAAGCCCCCAGCCTCTCTTGCTTATACTAATTTCCTTTGTTGAATAAAAAAGTCCAAATTTTTAAGTACAAAACGGAAGAATCAACAGCGAGTTAAAGAGTACAAGTTTGAAACTCCCATTTCCAAATCCTCCAAAGAAGTAGTATTTTACAAGTTATCAAGAACAATTTTGACTAAATCAATGAGAAAAAGATGTCTTATTTTAGTCATGTTTTGACTACCAATTGGGGACTGTGTGTGGAAAAGCACATTAAGCTAAGAAGTAACACAAATTATATGGCTAGTTTACATGCAGAACTGCAACTTTCGAGCACTGTTTCTTCCAAGATCAAGACCACCCGAACCCAAAGGTGCGCTCTCTGTTTTAGGCTTCCCTTGGTGATTTTGGCTGCAATGGGAAGACTTAACATGACCCTGATCGATTTTATTTTCTGAATTCACATTGAGGGCGACATGGCGATTTACATTCATGTGGTGAGAGTGATCATTCCCATTTTGCAGGTTCGAATTCCTTGACATGTGCATCATTCTAATTCCCTTGGAATGTGAATCTTCCATATACTCCACATCTTCGTCGTAACTTGATCAAGAAATCCGAGCAATTCTTTTACAACCATGATCAAATGGGTTTCTGAGGGACCCCTTGCCCCCTAAGGTAGCTATACCGCAGTGCATCTGCCATTTCGTTGGTTGTTATACTGCGAGATGAGCCCAGTAATCAGCACAAACTATCAAACTATAGTGTCTACCGGACAACGGCGAAGCCACGGTAAGAGGAAATCAGTTAGCCTCTCGTAATGGCACCTTCTTTGGATGAAATGAAAAAGGGTTGCGATAATCGAAGATCAAGGATAAAAGCTAGAAATAAGATAAAAGCCAACGAAAGTTGATGAAGAACTTGATATTTTGCCAGTGATTCTCTCTCTCTGTCTCTTTCATGCATGTCTCTCTCCCTCTTTCAAAGTGAATTCATGAAATAAATATGGTAAGTTATTCGTTATTTAAAATTTTTGTTGAGATAGGAAAACCCTAAACAAGCCACTATAAACCATGAAATAGGATGCAGCTCTGGAAAATGAAGACTTGCCGTATGAACATTGAACATAGACTTGTATAATTGTTAAAAAAAAAAAAATTATGAAAAAACAGCAAGTTACATGGTAAGGTACCTTGAGCAATAGTGCTCTCTGTAGTCTTGCAGTAATGTACCCACATGTCTTTTAACGGTCAAGAGGATTACATGCTAAATCTGATATTCACTAACAGCAGCTACAAACATTTAAGAGGGTGCATTTGTACAAAAATTGCGCAACTTTAGGGGCAAAAACGAGCAGCAATCAATCAAATTACAAAAGCTAAACCTTATGGGTTTATGATACAGAACAGACCAATTTCAGCTTGTATCACAATGTCATGAGGCTGCAACAGTTCGAGCATTGCCTCTTCCAAGACCAAGACCACCCAAACCCAAGGGTGCGCCATCTGTTTTAGGCTTCCCTTGGTGATTATGGCTGCAATGGGAAGAGTGAACATGACCCTGATGGATTTTATTTTCTGAATTCACATTGATGGCGACATGGCCATTTCCATTCATGTGGTGAGAGTGAGCATTCCCGTTTTGCAAGTTCGAATCCCTTGACATGTGCATCATTCCAATTCCCTCGGAATGTGGAGAATCTTCAATATACTCCACATCTACATTGTAACCATTGATCAAGAAATCTGAGCAATTCTTTTTACAACCATGATCAAATGGGTTTCTGAAGCGACCCCCTGGGCCCCTAAGGTAGCTATACCGTTGTGCATTTGCCATCTCGTTGGTTGTTATATTACGAGATATCTGTGGCAGGAGGAAAAAATGATTCAGCACTATTTATCCAAACTGTTAAAAGTGACAGCACAAATCACCTTCAGAGTTAAATGGCAAAGCACAGCTTGTCAACACATAAAACATTCACCACAGATGAAGTTGGATTACAAAATGCTCTTTTAATTGTCCACCACATAATATCCTTTTGATGTTTTAACCTTATTTAGCACATGTTCTCCTAAGTCCAACCTAAGACACTCCCTTGGTATAAAATAGTAAATTAAGTAAGGGAACAACTTCTTTTCTTCAGACAGCACACCGCAACAGCACGAAACTGCACTTACCACTCCATATAGTCTAGAGATAGGCAAATATAAAATGCATCACAATAGCACATCATGTGAAAATATAAGCATGCAACTCAAGTTCCTGAACTCAACTGTCCTGCAAGAGCTGCTACAGAAAAAATCACCCAACACTAACAGTCTCTGATATTCAGCACTAGCAATGTTTACAAGACTTACCTGAGAAGCTTGTCCAATAGTTAATACTGCCACGCCAAAGAAGAGGAAGAAGTCCATAACCAGAAATGACATGGCACCAGTATGATGAGAGCCAACGTGATTTATCCATGCTCCCAATGAAGAGGGAGCCAATGGATCGGTCAGAACTCCTACATACAGCAAATTATTCTCAATCAGAAAACCCCCACCCAAAAAAAAAAAAAAAAAAAAAGCTAAAAATATGTTTAGAAATAGCTTGAATCTGAAAGGCTAATCAGTCACATACTTGTGAGAGTAACTGCACCAGTTATCGACATTGCTGAAATTTCTAGAACAAGAAATGCAAAGAAGTCCCATTTGTTTTTCTGCATCAGAAGCACATCACATTATTTTACAGAGGTAAATACAATTGAAAATAATAATGATGCCAATCTTCTTTGCAAGGTACACCACGAAAATGTAATCAGCATGGTCCCACTAAGGAAATCTCAAGTCATATGTATATAAACTAAATGTAAGTATCAAGCCAATGTATTTACGCCTGCCACCAGGACATGCATTCCAAACAGTCACATAGTCTATAAACTGTTGAAGGTCCATTTATCTGGCTGGATGTTATCAAACTGATTCTGCTTCGTGAATGAGTGACGTTAACTATATGTTCTCCTTGTTAGTAAAATATCAAGTGGAAATGTGAGTTGAAAGAAAAGACATCAAACAGTATCTACGCACCTTGCCAATACAATTAGATACCCAAGGGCAATGATGATCAAATTGTTCAACACATCGATCACATGTGGAGCAGTGCTTTGCACGGAGAGGTCTTACAATCTGATTATTATATGAAATTGGATTAATTAACAAATGTCATTGAACCAAGCGTTAACCAGAAAAAGGGTAGATGAAATGCTTATCGAGCAAGCAAGCTATATACAGGCTGACAAAAATCAGTACCTTGCATGTGGCACAGAGCTGAGACCAATTCCCAGCTAGCAAAGCAGGGTTATTTATCTCAATCTTCAAAAGTGGCTCCTAGAATAAAAGGACAACATACATAGAAAAGTAATCAGGAAATATACAGGGCCTGCCTCTTTTTAGGATAAAAAGAAAAGAAAGAGAACAAAAGAAAAGTGAACCCCGCATGACTTCAATGAAAGAACTGACCAGAAACCTATCTTTCTACATTCCAAAGAGCCAAGAATAGTCAGAATATAAGCTCGATTAATGTAAAAGGGGTGAAACATACATCATCTTTCATATTTTGTGGATCGTGCACATTCATTCTAATGTAACCTGGATCCTTCCTGCACAGAAATAACCCCAAGAAAAAATAATGCCAAAAATCGATAGATATTACCATCTTCATGCATGATGTTATATCGTAAATTTTTTTGTACACATTGTAGCACAAAGGGGAAAAAAAAAATCAGATGTTTTATCATCAACTGTACTGTATGTACAGGTGTGGATGCAAGTACGCAGTCAGTTGGAAATTAATATGCAATAATTTTGAATACCAAAATGTACTGAAAAGGGAGCTTTAGGCGATCAACATATCTTGGGAAAATAAGGAAAAAGTAAAATAGAAGATAGACAATTCTGAAAAAAAACATATATATAGATTTTTTCTTTTTTCTCAACAAACGGGCGTTTTCATGAGACAACAGTTGAATACATCACAACAGCCAACCAAAGCAGATCTCCTAAAACTCAAAAGCATTCCATGTATATCGAAACATTCTAACCATAAATTTCAAGCAGGGCACAACTCTCTCACAATGCTGCTCGAATAAAACAAAATAAAGCATTGCAGGATTGATATAGCATGGAACAGTTCACAATCAGCCATGGCTAGACATACAAAGAAATTTTTCCATATTGCACATAATTTAAACAGTGCCTTTAATCAAACAATGTTCCTACTGCATCTTAATTATATCAAATCGCTCACTACACAGATATCTGAATTTGAGGGTTGCAGGAACGCAAAACCCTCTTAGCCATGTAATGGAGACCTAAAATGCATAAACGAACTACATTCTTCCTTCACATATTTTCTCTACTTTTTCTTAATGATTTTCTTTTGCAACAGAAAAGAGAAGGGATAGAACACATAGACAGCAATTCTAGCATGGATTTAAACTATTCAACCAGTCAATAGAGGTGTGCAATAGAGCATACCTGCTACATCTATAAAACATAAATAGTCCTGCAGTCGCTAGGAAAACAGCCAGCCAGGCAAGAAGGCCAAAGCCAGCTGTTAACTTTGGCAAGTTTGAATCTGCACCCAAAGTTATTAAATTAAAAATGTATGAAAGAGGCGTGGTAGATAGTCTTGATGACAGGAGTAAAAGTACATTGTATCAAAAAGATGATGAAGAATACCCAGGATGACAGAATGAATATAGGTCACCAGGAGAAGTATAATTATGAACCACAACACAGGGGCAAGCCCCAACTTTGAGAGGCGTCCCAGGCGGCTGTTCCCATCACATCGTTTGTCAAGCAACCTTCTAGCATTTCCCTGCAGAATGAGATTTTATTAGAAAATATAACTTGAAGAAAAAACTTCAGAGACTTTGAAATGAGAACAGAACACTAGGAAAGTTGGGGGAAAAAAAACAGAAAACTCAATCAGCATTTCAAAAATTCTTACGAAAATTAAAGATTCAAACGAGAACAGAACACTATGCCCCACCTGGAAGGAAATTGAAAAGTAAAGGGGAGAAAAAGGATAGGCTATGCATATGAGGCCTTGTCACATTCAGGTAGGTTAGGTTAGCTAATCATCTATGTATAGAAAGATCCTCCTGCAGTTCTCCTTCATCAACCGAGAACTGATGATTCTATAGGAATCTCAGCTGGCTTGCAAACAGTTAGACCAGTTAAAGAGAGAAGGTCTATTGCATGATTGCATTGAGAAAGGATGGCCATACCTATGGAGACACCTACAAGGAAATACTGGAGTCTGCAAATAGACTTTCAGATGAGATTGAAGACCTTTATCAAAATGGAAGGGTTTATGTTAAAAAAGGGTTTCTTACAATTATAGAGTCAAATCAAGCTATGATGAACCTAAAACCACACATCATTTGGCAACTATAAGACCTTTACCTATATCAGAGCCAAAGATGTGAATGTGGGGAGATCCAAAAGGACCAAACTACAGTGTTCATTCTCTGTGGAACCCAACCATTATGTTGTCTTTGCCACTTTCATATGTTCCAGGTTGCCTCTTGAAAATCTAATATACACTTCTTTTATTGTTATCCTTCTTAATTGTTGCAATATTATTTTAATTCAATCTTTAAGGCAATATTTCAATGGCAAATCACTAACCGCTAAAAGCACTTGAGCTTCACATAAGAA